GGGGGGGGGTGGCATCGTCTCCACATCCTCACCGGCACCTGTTGTCTCTCTTTTTAAGTCACGGCCACCCTCGGGGCTGTGAAGACGTATCTGAGTATTGATTCGCATTTCTGCAACTGACATGGGGCACATCTCCCATGCCCATTGGCCCCTTGTGTGTCTATTCGGAGAGATGTCGATCAGACCCTTTGCCTAGTTTTTGGCGGGTCATTTGCCCTTTTCGGGTGGAGTCTTCGTTTTTTACACATGCCAAGTCCGAGTCCCTTATCAGAGAAACGATTTGCAAAACTGTTCTCCTCAGGGGGAGGTTTGGAGCAGAGGAAAACGTGATCTGATTTCGTATTTTGGCAGAGTCCCTCCGACAGCAGAGGGTGATGAGGGTAGAAACAGGGACACAGTGAGGAAGGTCCTGCAGCCGACCCAGCACTCTGACCGGGGGTGACGGCCATATCGGTTTTTGTCACTCTCGGGGTGTGGTTTTTGTCATTCTCAGGAAAGGATTTGCCGAGGGAAGGGCCGGCGTGGGCTGAGAAGGAATCCAGGACGACTCGCCTTTTCCCTGGCCAAAACGCCTGGAGAATGGAGCGGCCGCAGGGAGGGGGACGATTGTTGGGGTAGCAGGACGGGGTGGAGGGGAGCTCCTTGTGAGAATCCAGAGCTGTGGTAAATGTGTCTGTCAGATGTCTTCTGAGCATGCGAAAGCATGTCTGCGTGAGGCCATTCCTCCCCCAGCCTCCACCCACACGCCTTCATCATGCACAGGGCAGGTGCGGGGCACGGAGACGTCACACACACACACAATGGTAAGTATGTGAGGTGACAGGTAGGTAAATTAGCTTGATGTGGTGATCATTCCACAATGTGTACACATATCAAAGCATCATGTTGTACATCTTAAATACAGACCATTTTTATTTGTCAAATATACTTCAATAAAGCTAGAAAGAAAGAAAGAAAGAAAGAAAGAAAGAAAGAAAGAAAGAAGGAAGGAAAGAAAGAAAGAAAGAAAGAAAGAAAGAAAGAAAGAAAGAAAAGAAAGAAAGAAAGAAAGGAAGAAAGAGAAAGGGAGAAAGAAAAGAAAAGAAAGGAAAGAAGAAAGAGGAAAGAGGAAAGAAGAAAGGAAAGGAAAGGAAAGGAAAGGAAACGAAACGAAACGAAACGAAACGAAACGAAACAAAAGGAAACAAAAGGAAACAAAAGGATACGAAAGGAAAAGCAAACACACCTTCCAAGGCCTTTCCTGGAGGGAAAGGAAACCAGATTCTCCCAGACAAGGGACACACAAGGGTCCTCAGCCCCACTGGTGGTCCAGAACAGCCGTGTCCCCAAGAGTGGCAATTGAGACTTAAATTATTTTCTTATTTGATTCTAAATTTGCTTGGGACAAATTTTTCAGAGCTGGCCCTTGGAGAAAAACCTCGGGGCGGGTTATTGTGTATAAATAAACTTGCCTATGGCATCATCATAACTGGCCCTCCCGACGTTCTGTGCTATTATTTGCTGTATGGCCACTCCTCCTTTAATATTAAAAAAAAAAACAAACCCTGTAGGTCTGTCTAAATGTGCATGCCTATGGGGCGCCTGGGTGGCGCAGTCGGTTAAGCGTCCGACTTCAGCCAGGTCACGATCTCGCGGTCCGGGAGTTTGAGCCCCGCGTCAGGCTCTGGGCTGATGGCTCGGAGCCTGGAGCCTGTCTCCGATTCTGTGTCTCCCTCTCTCTCTGCCCCTCCCCCGTTCATGCTCTGTCTCTCTCTGTCCCAAAAATAAATAAACGTTGAAAAAAAAAATGTGCATGCCTACATGTCTATGGGCATGCCCATTTATAAGTCTGTAAGTATATCCATTTGTCTATCCGTGTTACTCTGTGTCTGTATGTCTGTATCTATATGTCTATCTACAGCCCTATGCGATCCATACATCCCTGTCATTATCTGCATCTTTGAGTAGAGCTGGTTAGAGCGATCAAATGCTGGTTTCCTGCAGCTGGTTACTGCCATTTCTCACTTTGGATAGAGTTAGGGTTAGAGCCAAAGAGGGGGGAAAGGACATTCCTGGCGGGGGTCCAGCCTGGGCAGAGGCCCAGAGGTGACCCCACAAGGTTGATTCTGGGGCAGTGAATAAACCAGCTTGGCGGGATCCAACGACCAGCCCCATCTTTAGCTTTCTGCCCGCCCAACGAGGACAGAGAGGCAGTTTGGAAGGGTAGGTTGAAGGCAGACGGTGGACGGTGAACTTTGGGAACTATGGGGAGCCATGGCTGGTTTCAGAGCCGGGGAGTGAAGGCAGTGAGAAAGGTAGGGCTTGGGGGAGATTGGCCAAGAGGTTGCTAAGTGGTCACAGTCATGAGGTGGGGGGCGCACTGCTCTGACACGTCCTGACTGTGTGGCCTTGGAAGAGCAGAAAGGAGGCCAGTGAAGGAGGGGAGAAGGTTGCATGAGATAACGGGATGGTCCTTGATTTCCCCAAAGCATCTCTCTAAAGCTTCGAGGTGCCCTCCTCCCGCTCTTCACGCCCTTGGTGAGCTGGACGCGAGGGGGCACTCCAGCTCCCTTCCCATCCTGGGAAGAAAGGAGTCCCTCCCTTGCCACTGACATC